CTTTTTAAAAAGCTCACTTTTTCGTTTCCCTCTTCACGAAAAATGTCCCATAAATATTTTCTATAATTTATTTTTCACTTTAACACAGTAATATTTTATACAATTAATTAAGAATCGCTATTTCCTAATTACTGAGCTAAAAACGTGCATATAATGGAAAATGTATGACGGGCATCGATCGAGTGAATACCATTTTTCTTCTGTAATGACAACGTTCCACTGAAAAGCTCTCATTACACAGAAACACAAATTTAGAGGAGCGAAGCAAATTTAGGATGGACACTTATTGAAAAAATTAGCGATTTTTACTTACCACGCCTACTGGCGGGGAGGTATTGTAGTCGCGAATAATTTCGTAAACGAGATATTACGTTTTTTGGATGTCATATGAGAAACTATGCTACTCATTTCCGTCTGCCTGTCAGTTGGTCTGTCTGTCTATTGCTCGGTCTTTGATGAAATTTTCACACAATGTTACTACTATGTCAAGGATGAAAAATCTTTGTACTTTTTGAAAATCAGTTCACTGACGGCGGAGAAAAAGGTCAAAAACAAGAAAATTAAACAAGCGTCACAATCACTCACTGCTGTGGGCTGTGTGCACCGTGCAAGGCCAAACACGTCATTTACCTGGGATTGGTCACAGGAACAATCATGTGAACCTGCAGACGATTCTCTCAGGGGGTGGAGGAAGTTCATTTAATTTTTTTTATAATGGGTGATTTTTTTGCTAGTATCTTTTTGGCAACACTGTTTTTGACAGATGACGCGTGAATCGTGTCTTGTGTCATTGTCAAATTTGTTCAGTTTGGTCTATAATTTAACCCTGAATCGACTTACGAACGAACAACGCTTGCAAATTATTGAATTTTATTATCAAAATTCATGGTCGGTTAAGAGATTGCATCGAGTACTGCTTCCAATTTATGGGCAATTTGGTCGGCCTACTGAGGGAGCTATTTGGAAGCTTGTGACTAAATTTCGAACCCAGTTTACATTATTGGACATTAAACCACCAACCCGCAGACGTAGAGTGAGGACTGAAGAAAATATTGCGGCTGTATCTGCCAGTGTTAGTGATGACCGTGAAATGTCGATTCGCCGCCGTTCGCAGCAATTGGGCCTCTGTTACTCCACTACGTGGAAAATTTTGCGATTTGGGTGTAAAACCTTATAAGTTAGAGCTGGTGCAAGAATTGAAGCCACACGACCTCCCACAACGTTTCCAATTTGGTGAATGGGCGCTGGAAAAGTTGGAGGAAGATCCACATTTTTATCGAAAAATTGTGTTCAGCGACGAAGCTCATTTCTGGTTGAATGGGTACGTTAACAAGCAAAATTGCCGCATCTGGAGTGAAGACCAGCCAGAAGCATTGCAAGAGCTACCAATGCATCCCGAAAAAAATACTGTTTGGTGTGGATTATGGGCCGGTGGCATCATCGGGCCGTACTTCTTCAAAGACGACAATGGCCGGAACGTAACTGTGAATGGCGAGCGCTACCGTGCGATGCAAACTTTTTTTGCGCAAAATGGAAGAGCTGGACTTGGCTGACATGTGGTTTCAACAAGACGGTGCCACATGCCACACCGCACACGAAACAATGGCCCTATTGAGAGGCGAGTTCGGTGAACAGTTTCTCTCACGTTAGGGGCCCGTCAATTGGCCTCCTAGATCGTGTGATTTAACGCCGTTGGACTATTTCTTGTGGGGCCATGTTAAGGCTAATGTCTACAGGGATAAACCAGCAACGATTGACGCACTGGAAGTCAATATTGAAGCATTTATTCGTGAGGTACCGGCCGATATGTTGGAGAGAGTGTGCCAAAATTGGACCTTGCGCATGGGCCATCTAAAGCGGAGCCGCGGTCAACATTTACATGAAATAATCTTTAAACATTAAATTATATCGACCGTTCTATCGACTCAAATAAGGATTTAATTGTTTTGTCAATTTTTTTGTGTTTTTTTCAAAATCAAATCCTATACCTCTTAAAAAATCACCCGTTACATGTTCGTAGCTCATTTTTTTCTTAGAAGAGCTAACTTGTGCCAAACATAATACCTTACGAACTGATGACAGGGTTGCGTGAGAAGGACAGAGTCAACTTACTTGATGCATTTTTTTTATAAATTATGGCCGACTCTATTCCCGATGGTCTATATAAAGCATACCATGGAGCATTGAGTCCGCATCGGTGTTCTAGCTAAGGCAACTTCGAAGCACAACGCGGTGGTTCACGGCCGGCGGTGTCGGTTTTTCGTTCCGTGCCATTGCATATACATAACAGTGAATTGCAATCGAAAGGAATCGAAAACGAATGGAACAAATCGATTCCGTGGGCGGAATCGAAACCATAGGATCGAGTCACCAAAAGGAACGATTTAGGCCAGCTCTACTATCGATATATATCGTAAATACGGAACTTAATTTAATTGCGTTTTGAGCTTGCATTCCAAGCAGCTGTACGACTGGCTTATTACTGTTACCTAAGCTGTGAGGCTCTGCGACTGCCGTAAGGAGCTTAAAGATGTTTCATTATTTAGATTTTGATAGCGATATTCAACTCGGTTATGCTGTAGAGAGTACATAACCAGGCCGTGACGAAAAAGAAATATAGTCAACTGATGCTCAGAAGTGACAAGTAGTGCTGTAGTGGTGTAAACTGACGCACTGTTGCTGGTGACAAATTTTTTGGATGACTGAAGAGCGATCGATGAGCGCACTATCAAAAGGGCACGGAATCGAGAATCGACAAAAGAGATGCGCTTTTTGTCTGATGGCAGGAGAAATGTGATACAACTAGCCCTGGTTGATGGTGTAGAAGGCTAATCCCAGATATTAGAACTTGCATTAATACGGGAGCGGTATTGCAACGATGAGGAAAATACTTCTAATCAGCTATTCGTATGTGGTAGATGGTCTGACTACTAGAGATGACTGGAACTGATGCTAGGCGAGATGCTCATTGCTGACAATTTTTATTCAAAACTGTTGTAAATTATAGATACAAGAACGGGTCTCTGCAGCTACAAGTGCCAGTAAAGGTACCATCAAACGCATTAAAAAGGAAGCGTTAAATATACAATATATACGTGTACCTACCTTGCAATGTGTACACAGGAAGATGATTGAGCTAGTAGGATATCGAGGAAGCGGAGAAACATTGCGTAAAGAAATTCACAAATTAGGGTTTAAGTGGAAAAAATTTGAGACCAATAGGAAGCTATTAATTAAAAAAACAGAAATTCGCCATTTACGTATAATGTTCTTGAGGAGTATGCAGAAATATAGACAAGAAGGACGTCCAGTGATCTATACTGGAAGGCATAAAAAACGGGTATCCAAAAGGGACAGATTGATTATTCTCCATGCCGGCAGTGAAAATGGATTCATACCTAATGCATATGTGAGATGAATTTTGACAATTAAGTATAAAAAGTGGTTGGAAGAAAGGTTAGTTCCAAACCTACCTCTCAAAAGCGTGGTTGTTATAGACAACGCACCGTATCAGAATAAACAATCAGAAAAATGCCCAACTTCCTCAACAACCAAAGCAGACATGATGATCTGGATTCGTCACAGACATATCTGTTTTACGGACGACATGCTTAAGCCAGAACTGTACAATTTGATAAAACTGCATAAGCCTGCTTATAAGAAGTTTGCAATAGTCAAAATTCTGCATGATGCTGATTAAGATTACCACCCTATCACCCCGACTTGAAGCCTATAGAACTCGTATGGGCAGCAATGAAATCTCACGTAGCATGTCTCAATATCGATTTTAAATTTTCTGCCGTTTTAAAACAGTGCGATGAGTTTTTTAATACATTTGGTAGTGATAAGTGGAAAACGAGATGCGAGCATACAAAGAAGCTTGAAAAATAATTTATAGAGCGCGCCTGCGGTTGATAGAGTTGTGGATGAATTCGTTATCAATTTAAATTGAACTGACAGTGATAGCGATTTTTTGGAAAATGAAGATGAAGATTTAGAAGGAAAAGAGGAAGATAGCAAAAATTTTGAGTGTAGAATCAGTAGGAGACTCTATAGTGTATGAAACCAATTCTGATGATGATCTTTGAGGCTGATGATGATAAATGAAAGTGTTTGCAGATTCATTCCTGTAAGATATGTGTAAAATTCTCTAAAGGTGCTGATAGTTTGGATAGTAAACTGTTGATCTATTTTAAAACTTTCGAAAATGATAACAGAATCTTTAGGCTTTAAAACCCCCACCTGAAGCGTTTTTGTATTATGTTTTTCAGTTAGAATCAATATTTCTTTCCTTATTTGAGAAATTAAGCTTACAGCATGGCATATCTCATAAATTGTGAGACATTATGAAAGATGTAGGGTATCAACATCCTTGTACACAGTTTACTGTTTTCTGAAACGATCTAAACATTAGGCTCAGAAGAGCTGATGCACGTTTTTTATGAAGAGTTGTCCCCCCTATTCAGCTAGATTCAATGCATATGCTACCATCAAGCAATTAGCTAATCAAATAATCCCTTAATGAAAGAATTGCATCCCAACCTTTTTTCCGTGAAGTTCTAGTGAAATGCCAGATTCGGACTTTTATAAATTTCTCTCAGTGTAATTGATAAGCGAAGTCAAGGGGTTGTCTACGAAGGGCGAATTGTAATCGTAAAATAGGTAGCCTTTAATCAAATTAAATGATATAACAGAAATTGGCACGCTGTAACTGAACTTGCCGCGTCGACTGTACTTCTATATCCGTCGGCTATTACCGTTTCTCTCAGATATCCACCGTCTCACTCTGTTTTCTGCACATCTCGCGGCTCAAGCTGGATTTGTCGATACCAGTGGTAAGCATAGGGATCAGATCGCTATCATAGCGATTATTTTACCCAATACGTGTGCGACTTAGCAATCTGAATATCTGCGTGTAAAATAATATCATCAACAAAGCTGTGGATTGGATTGATCGAGTTGTATTGCCAACCAATAAAGGATTATTCTACAAAACTTACCGGTAGTTGAATCCTTCGCAGACAAATCTTTTCTCTGAAGCGCATTCTCTTTGACACTCCTCTACAGTTTCGCAGGTTATAGCTTTTTTCACAAAAGCGCGAGATACCCGTTTTGCTGCCAACACTCTCCGGAAACAGGCTGCAACAAAAAGTAACTCTGATAAAACTGAGGTTTTTAAATATATCAGTTCCTTAAAAAATGAAAATGGGCACATTGATATTCCAGAGATCAGTAAGCTACGACCTGGGAATTAAACGTCTAATTTTGAACGTCGAATTTAGGCGAGGTTTTGGAAATTTCACCTTAAATGGGTCAAGTTGAAAGTTTATATGTAAAAAGGGATTCATTTGGTTTACCCGCAACTTGGAGTTTTGTCACTAGATTTATCAAACACGTATTTAAAGATTTTCGATAAATCAACTCCCCAATAATAGGTGACCAATATCATATCGATTTTGCTTGAAAAGTGCCTCCGGAAGGTTTTCGATATGCTTGTTAAAACAGTGCCAGCTGATTCCTATTTTTACTTTCTACCCCGATAAAAAATTCGAATATGTGACATAATATGTCTGTCTGACTGTCTGTCGATCTGTCTGCTAATCTTATAATCGCCTACGACTTCAGAAGAAAACATTTTGTATGGGTTAAAAATTAGGGATTGAGGTTGTGAGGGGTGGACGAGGGTATACCTCAATTATTTGGCTTTGGTATATTTACACATCTTTAACTCCGGTAAGTTTACGCACTTATCACATTTCACACATCATTCCCCGTACATTTCCCTTTAACATGTGGTAGAACGATAGAGAAACGTTTTAAATACACTCATAAGAATGGTGAAAGTTGGGCTTAAACATAGTGCTTCAGTGCGAAAGAAAATAGACAGAGTACCTTTTGCATCTTCGATCACAATGATAGTACCACTAACTACACCACATATTGTGATCAGCACCACTTGGCTCCAAAACACTTTCATATTCCGACAAATATTCAACTCATCATGTCCAGGAACCACCAGCAACGTCAATCTTCACTCGGTACTACCATGATCAGTACTTTTTCAGGTCGTATTTACACATAAAGATATCTTTTCGTAACAGCAATATCACCGGCGTTAGTTTTATTAAGCTTTAAGAAGAATGATACCACGAGGAACAATAGGCAGTGCGAGTGTGTGAAGTGGTTCCCGAGCTGGTGCGCGATATAGTACCGGCAGAAGTGAAATGACTAGACTCGGGAAATGACGCGCATCATCAAGGATGCAACTATGCTGTATGCTGTTTGGAAATTTTGTTTTTACGGTCTCCCACTATATGTTGGGTTAGTTTGGGAGAGGAGAGGAGCGAAGATTTGTGGTCGAGATTGCGTTATATAATATTTATTAGGCCATTTGAATTATCTGGGTCATCACAAATCAACTTTTTTTCTCAAATGAATTAATTAGGGTCGGAGTACGGTTGAAGAACGTCTATTGAATTGGAATGAGTATGAGAAAGTCTTCCCACCGAATCATCAGTTAAGCTGGGGTTCTGCGGGAATAAGAAACAAGATGTTTTGTGGTTTTCCGTAATTTCAATGGGATTCTGCGGGCGGGGAAGTATTTTAATCGCGAAATTTCGCAAATGAGATATTGTTTCTTGGATGTTATATGACATGTTCATCACGACAAACAATGTCACTCTTTTTCGTCAGTCTGTCTGACTGTCGGCTAATCTTATAACCTCCTATAACTTGAGAAGTACCGCTCGGATTTCGATGAAATTTTAACACAGTCTTAGTGCTATGCCAGGGACGAAAAAGATTTATAGTTTCTGAAAATTAGTCCAGTGGCGGTGGAGAAAAAGACTAGAAAAGTAAAATCGCTAAAGTTTGTTTTTTGATGTTTCAGAGGATCCCAATCATTGAAAAAAAATTGGGGGTGGAGGTTGTAGTCGGGTGGGGAGAGTCCCTCAATTTTTCGATGTTGCTACACTTATACGCTCTCAACTTTGGTAATTCTTGGCACCTATTAGACATATTTCACACATCTTAGGTTTGTCTGTACATTAGTCTATAAACATATTCTCAGCAGACGGATCGCATACCTATGGGCCGCGGCAGCTACTCCTGGCATCTTGATGGTATTACACTTACGGGAGTCTGGTACACTTTTTCTTTTAGAAATCCCCACACAAAGAAATCTAATGGATTTATGTCAGGGGATCGTGGAGGCCAGGCGACTGGTCCTCCACGGCCGATCCATCTTTCTGGATAATTTTCGTCCAGCCAGTTTCTAATTATTCTCGAATAATGAGCTGGACAACCATCAAGCTGGAACCAGGCCAATCTTCTTGAATCTAACATAACATCATCCCAAATATTTGCATGTTCAGCCTTTAAAAATTCCAAGAAGTTCGCAGCATTTAACCTTGCAGGCAAAAGGTAGGGTCCAAATAGTCGATTACGGTAGATACCAATCCACACGTTCACACTAAATTCATGCTGAAAATTTCTTTCCCGAACTGCATGCGGATTTTCATGCGAATATGTTGATTATGAACATTTACCACTCCACGTCTAGTGAAGCATGACTCATCGGTCCATATCGCATATCTATGGGCCGCGGCAGCTACTCCTGGCATCTTGATGGTATTACACTTATTTCTGCCGCGCCACAGCATAGTGTTTCCTATGTTCTGACCGCGCTACTACGTCTGACTGACCCAAGTATCGGGAAGAGACGACGTTTCCAGATGCACTACCGGTAGGTCAGGAAAAGAATGTCTTTGGGCGTAAAAAAGTCTGAATCCTGCGCCTATAGAGCGGTGTCGATAGAATACTGGTGGTGGTGGCCGGGACCACGCCAATAAATTTGCTGGCTGACGAAAGCTGTGGGCTAGAAATGATGAAAGGGACTAATTTACCGACACTCAGGTCTGGATTGATAGGAGAGCAGTGCAGATAGATTACTATACTGCGCAGTTCCTCACAGGACATGGTTGCTTTGGAAGCTACCTAACGCGAGTAGGAAAGAAAGAATACGCGAAATGTACGTGCTGTTTTGCAAAAGAGGATACTACTTAGCAACTACTCTATCGCAGTAAACTGCTAGAAACAACTGGAATTAAAGCTCGGCGAGAGGCTCATTGCTGACAATTTTGCATGTAGGCGAGGAAAGATGGGTTTATATGCAAGCACTGGTGAGATAAATGATGCTGAGCAAGGCATGTAATGGAAGAAGCTCACAAAGAAACCAATAATAGGTTTCTGTGTCTGCTGGGTGTGTATCGTATATACGTATAAGCGTAGTACGTACGGAGGGAGATAACGGGTTGAGACAAATACCTTTGGTATGAATCTTTGCACGACGCTACCCACCAGGACGAAATGGTGTGATGCGTTTCCGTGGTAGGATGCATGGCGAACGTCTGATGGTTCTGGTTAGTACGTCGCTTTTGGAATTTCTCACACTTAGGAAGGAAATATTGATAGAAAGAATATGTCGAGCTCTCCTGCTTGAGAATGGCTATAGAAGCTTGCTCCTGTCTGAAAAAAAAATACTTGTGTCACATGCACACGTCTTTCCGCCTTACAGTCCCGCCGGGATGTGCCTACACGCTCGACGGTCTGGGACCGTCTACCACTTACGGGCAATCATAATAGCCATAGTTAAGAGAAAAATTGTCTTTGGACCAGATTAGTAGACATATACGTCTACTAGTACGCCACTCCACCGCGCTGCCTTAATTCTAATAGTCTGGATGTTGAGAAAAAAACATGGTTAATCCTCCATGTGTGTCTGACCAATGAAACCACGTATCTGAAATTCTTCTTTAACGTACTAAAGGTTTCGGTCACGAGGGTAATTTAGATAGTTGTGTGGCTCCGTATGATATACCGTACGAATACACGGTTCCTGTTATGCAAAGTACGAGAAAGCCTACTACTTGATGAAAAAAAAAATCCTCCAAACATCTGTTTCTCACGTCTCACGGGAAATTGGGAGTGTGGAAAGGTTATTTCAATTTCTTGGCTTTAGTACATTCATACGATTCCATCTTCGGTAATTCTACGCACCTAGTAGACGTATTTTACACATATTTCTCCGTACATTTGCCTCCCTCTCTCTGGGTTGATCGGCGTAACAGTCTCCCCATGAGTGACGTTCCGTCACTGCCACGCTGCCCAGTCGGACGAGCAGTAAGGTGTGGGAGTAAGGTGACGTTGCCAGATGGACGGTACTATCGGTAGGGCAGGGAACATACAGGGTGTTTCAGTTTATTGTTGCATAACTTTAAGATTCGATAGAACTTTTAAAATTAATGCATAAAGTCTATATAAACATGGGTCGAAAAATGCGTGGCTTCCGAAATACAGGGTGTTTAAATTTACTTTCTAAAATAGTTTTTTTAAATATTTCGAACAATATTTGATGTATAACAGTGAAAATTGATATACAAGGGTTTTTTGGTACGACAAAACGAACCATGGGCATAGTTTTACTGTAGCCGCTAGAGGGCGCTCTCTACTGTACCTGTAGTGTATTAGAATGACCAAAAAATTTTTCTTAGTGCAATTTTTTGCTTTTTGAATAAAAAACTGATTCTTCGAACTTTTCAACTTAAAAAAAGACTCCTGTGAGTTTTCGTTATAGTTAGCCGTTTTTGAGATATTTCGATTTTTGAGGTTCGATGCATTTTTAATTATTTGTGGGAAATTTTTTTTTACATTTTCGATTTGGGCATTACAAGTAATTAAGATGATCGTTTAGATTGTGTTTTTAAACACAGCAATAATTCCTAACTCCAAATAAACACAAAAAACAGAATATTAATTTGTTTAATTTTCCAATATTATTTTTAACAAATTAAATTAATTATTTACAACTAAAATGCTATTGGATAGTTAGGACAAACATACAAAATCTAAAGTAGTTGCTCGAAATGTAAACCCAATTGTTCAATACACAATTCACATCTACGAATGATCGAACGTGGTATAGCATTATTCAAATAAGGCCTTATTTCATCACATGCATTCCTGATTCTGTCTATTAGCATATCTCTTGTGGTTACGGGAGTCTGGTACACTTTTTCTTTTAGAAATCCCCACACAAAGAAATCTAATGGATTTATGTCAGGGGATCGTGGAGGCCAGGC